TTTTTTCTTCGACACTACGAGAACTCCATATGAAACCAACCGAAAGTGAACCATCTAATTTGGTTTGCTATCAACCTAATTTGAAAGAAAAAAAATAAATAGAAAAGAAACTTAGGAGACGAAAAAAAGAAAAAGAAAGAACATGTGGCACTATTATCATCATTATTGTGTTTTTGCTCTGCAGAAACCCTAAATATTTTAGTTTCTTTTGAGTGTGTTTGTATTGTAATAGCTATTGTGGTTATAGTTATGGTTTGAAAAGAATTGTTTTATAAAAAGTACTTTTAGTTGAGTTTGATTTGAAAAAATATATGTTTAGTTAAAACTATCATTGAAATTAAGGTTGAATAAAAAATAATATAATGTGTTTGGTTAATAATACTTTTCAAGTGGGGGTTATAAAATAACTAAAAAAGACATATATTAATATTGATAGTTTTTAATTGAAATATTGGATATTTAATTATTGCTATTATATCATGAAATAAACAATATTATATATAAAGTATTTTTTAATTGTTTCATTAAACTATTTGCAATTCCATCATATATGAAATTCATATGACAAAAACTATATTTTCTATAACTTCACGAGTGTATAATAAATTCATAAATATAATGTGGTGGTTAACATGCATCACTACATTTGATAATTTTTTTATTATTTTATTAAACTTGTAACCTCTACCTAAAGCTAAAATCAACCACCACATATGGCGTCTTTCTTCACTATCATCTCCTCCTCCCACAATGTCCCTGTCCTGGCAGCATCTCTATTGGAACCAAAACCAACACTATCATTAACCAACTCCCTCATCAAGACTAGCCTTCACCTATTTACCTCCATGAATCAGTCATCTCCCTCACAAACTAGGTAGTCTTTCACAAGTTCCACTATTAACATGTCTACAGTGAACTAACCCAACTATCAAACCACCATATAATCAGCTCTGTGTCTCCCTCACATAGAGCTAAAAATCCATCTCACCCAGTCACCTAAAACTCAAATGGTTAGCTCAGCATTCCTTGGCAACCTAACATGCATCAACCCAATTGAAAGAACTTAGACCCAAACAACCACGGACCCCTGCCACAACCTCCAACGGTCTCTAATAGCCCTTATGATTTTCTCATCTAGATAAAAGATTCGCCCATATCTAAAGCATTGGTCAAGGAAGAGGAGAACAATCTGTTATATTGTGGTTGTAAACATAATTACATTAAACAAAAAACATAGCATTACAAAAAGCATGTAGTTTCTGCTTTAACATAACTGAGTTTTGAACGTAGATAATGATAAAATGCATATATTAAAATTATGGCTCGTTTTATAATTAAACAATATGTTGTAACTTTTAAATAAAAATGCCATCACAAACGGGCTCTTATGCTATCAAAGTAATTTTGATCAAACATTTTGCTAATCCAGGGGTTGCACGACAGGTCTAAAAGCTGACAAGTTTTCGTAACCAGCTTCGAAAATATTTTAATTGAAAAATGAAGATGCCATGTTCATGTTGGAACACGATTTGCCATTAACGAAAGCAATCCTGTCCACAAACCAGCATCAAGACGACTTGGCTATCTACGTATATCTCTTCGACTGGAATCCAGTCCAGCAATCACCGCAATCATCATCCAAATGTTTTTGGATAGCCAGCCCATTGAAGTTATATACATACACGACCCCTGCTTCGTCTTCTTCTTCTTTTTCTTCTTCTTCATCCAAATATATTGCATCTACTATATATCACCATTTAACACAGAGGACCACCTTTTCTTGTATCTGTGCTCATAAGGGCCATCCATCACGGAAATTGATTGGCATAAATCCATGGCCAATATTAAAACTTTCAACTTGCCTGGCTGCAAATTGAAGTTCGGATTAATGTAACCAGCACCACTGCCCTCGTATGTGGTGCCCAGAAATTGACTTATCGCTGTCGAGAGCTAGGAAAGCCAAAAAAAAGACCCACCTCCTTTTGTGTCTGATTAAGCCATCACTACTCTTAGGATATAAACTAGTTGAACTTAGAAAGAACATTTCTTACACGTCTCACAAATTATTTATGTTGAAGAACGTGCGCTATATGTGGCAAATCATAGCGCGGTTTAAGCAACAACAAAAAAATATTATATCTTTGGTGGCGTGCCTGACTTTTGAACGAGGAACTTAGTTGATTTAAAAAGAAATAGTGCTGATTAAAATAATTTTGGCAACTAGCACAGAACAAAAAAATATTTGGTTTGGTGAAACATTACATGTTCATGAATTGTGTGTTAGAACAAAGTAATGTATAAATTGTGTTTGTATTAACCTAGTTTTTTTATATAATATATAGGCTGCTTTTGTTAAAACAACGTATGTTTTTTTAAGATTACATTGTTTTTAATAGAACAATCTATTGAATATTTAAGAACAAATGTGAAGCAATTTGTCCAAATTAATGAATGTTTAAAATATTTGTGCAAGTTGCATTATTTCCCAGCAACGTAATCTTCACATCTTATTTTATCTATATTTTAACATGTAACATGTTGGGTGTATTTATTTTGAGGTTGCACTATTAAAACATATAATTAAATTGCAGTATTCCAAACATATATATTTTTTTTAAAATAAGTTGATACCTTCGTGATCTTATGAATTACGCTATTTTTAACAAACAGTAGCTTGCACATGGCCGGCGGTTTATCTAAGCGGCCTTCCTCGCATGGTACAGAAGGCCCCATCCTGCGTGCTGCAAATGGGCATGCCGAGACCTTTCCTTTGTTCTTTTTTTTTTTTTTTGATTTACGTGGGGTGTCCGGGCCAGCTTACGCGCACCACGACTAATTCCCACGGCCCACTGAACAACCTGCAAACCCAGCAGGCAGGTAAGGCAGCGCGGGGCTGACAGGCATGCAACTCCAAGGCTCGAACCCGTGACAGCAGAAGGCGCAAGGCGCCATTCCACCGCTGGGCCGTTGCCTTGGGTGCAACCTTTGTTCTTCCTTTTCAAGCAAGTGACTAGGTGCTTGGAGACAGTGCTGTGATTCTATTATTATTATTATTTTTAGATTAATGTGAGTTTCAGGTTAGTTTATGCGTACCACGACTAATTTTACGGGTCCTAAAATTAACGACCATGTAAGCCTTCAGTGGCCATCATATGAGCAACCAAGAACTCGAACCTGAAACTACAGAGGGAGCAAACCTCTTGATCCCAAGTATTTATTACTTGACCACCACCTAGATAATTAATGATTCTATTATTATTATTATTATTATTATTATTATTAATAGAGTTGTTCAATGCGAGATGGATGATTTTGTGGAGGATCTCAAACCATTTCTCGCACAGCATCCTGATGCCATAATTTTAGATGCTATTAGAAGTGCGGAAAGTGTAGCGGATTAGACTACGACTTCTTACCAGGCTTTGACTCACCCTTTCCTGGCCCAAATGCATTTGGGTACCTACCAGGAGAACATGTTGCGAGTTAAAATTAACTGCCCCCATTTGTTTTTCTTTAGTAAAATAAATGATATCTTTTTTCTCATATAACTTGAAGATTTTTTCAATTTTAAATTTGTGAAAATTACCTGAACAAATCTAATGACTTAATTGAGAATAAAATATGTTTAGTATGTGATAATTTTTGTAGTTGTGGTTTGAAAAAAGTTATTTAATTATTTTATATATATTAATATTAATGAATTTTAATTTAAATATTATAGATTTATCTACTGCAATTATATTATTAAATAATTAATATTTTATATAAAATATTTTTTATTATTTTTTTAAACTATTTATATTTTCATCACGTATGAAATTTATCCGACAAAGATAATAATTTTCATGGTTTCTTGAGCGTGCAACAATATTAAATAAAATATCATCTAAAATAAAATTATAATTATAATTAAATTATATAAATATTATGTCATCATGTAATCTTTTTTTAATTTATATAGTGTTGTTGAATAATATTAAATGTTTTTTTAATAAAATACAATTAAAAATAAAAATAAAAATAAATTTTTTTACTAAGTCAAATCTAATCTAATATATTTAAGTTTGGACCGGATTCGATCCGGTTATAAACAATAAAAATATTTTTTATTATTCACGTGAATAATAAAAGATGAACCCTCCACTATAAAAACAGTAAAAAAAGAAAAAGCAGCTTCAAGCTGCTTTTGATAAAATCTGTATTTTTTTAACTTAAATTGTACTAGATCGCACGCATCATGTTCAGCTACTAATCAGATATTTTTTTTCTATCTGCTTCAAATACAGACACAATCACATAAAACAAACCCTTTCCAAATTATTCAAATTGGGTGGTGGGTTAGTCTTATTTAACCCTCATATAACACTACCTCTCTTCTTGCAAACAAAAGTTGTTTCGGTTAACTGTTTTCAGTTGTTTTCCAGCTTAAACTATTTTATCTTAAATTATTGACAAAAAAAACAACTGCTTTATAATTTAATTTTATATCAAAAAACTACTTTTCGTAGGTTATACTTAATTAACTCTTTATTTCAAAGCACAAATGAAGAGAGGGAATATATATACAGTTTACAACACTATCAAAATAACAAAGCCGGAGGAAAAATTGTTGTTTAAAGTGTTTTTTATTTAAAATATATTAAAATAATATTTTTTATTTTTTAAAATTTATTTTTAATATCATTGCATCAAACAATAAAAAAATATAAAAAAATAATTTTTATGAAACACATTTCCAAATGGTTTCTAGAAGCACAATTATCATATGATGTTTGTTTTTTAAATCAAACCCCATTGCTTTGTTATTTGCATGGTAATTTTGTCAATTTCATTCGGTTCAACTCACCAAAGGCTCAAATTCTATGACATAAATCATTTTAGTCCAATATGATAATTGCAGAGTATCATTTCCAAAGCCTAAAAAAAAAAATCCATCCATATTGAAGTCTTGGCTGCTAGGCCTTGAGAAACTCTCCACGTAAAGCCATAAACCAATAAGATGATAAAATGGAACACTTAGTTGCAAGATTTTTTCACGTAAAAGAGTATAATTTCCATCGCAACTACAACACAAGTGAGATTTTTTTGCTCCCATTTTCAAGACTTGGTTGATAGGCATTGGAACTATGACTACGAGGGCCAGTTTCTGTACCAACCAGCCCAAGCAGACACCAACCCACTAATACCAAGAGTAACAGCATGGTTGCAAAATGGGTTGGGCTCAATATCTGCCAGAGCAATAATCAAATCTGCAACGTTAGCTGCTACTGCCATCAACCTCATCACCCTCTCTGCTCTGATCTTCCTCGTGCTCTCTTTCGCATCTTCTGAACCGTCTTCTTTTGAAGAGATTAAGAGCCTTCTCTCTGTTTCTAGCCCTTCTTTCATTATAATAAAATCAGCTATAATGAAAAATATGTAGCCAAAAGACTCGCCCAATGCTGAAATGAAGCTCATCCTTCTTGCCAACTTTGCATCCAAAGTTCCAATTCTTGATAACCAAAGAAAATGGTCAAAAAAGAAATAGACCATTTCTCCTGCATTAGCAAGAACAGCTAAGACCTTTAACGTCGGGGTTGCGCCAGGGCCTCTTCTTAGAGCATTGAAGCCAGTGAGAAACCTGCCAGTTCTGAAGGCTTTCCGGCTAAGGCCAGATGCAACTTCCCATTGCTTGAATCTCATTGCAGCGTCTGGGTGGGTGGCTTCTACATGCCAGTGAACAAGCTTGGACACATACTGGAAAGTCTTGACAAGCTTATCTATGCCATCTCTCTTTGCTAGAAAGATGACCAGCTTGTCCACTGTGTCATTCATGGTTGAGCCCTGAGATGCTAAATGGTAATTGTTGCTGTTGGTGATGGTGATGAGTTCGATGGAAAGTTATTCATTTGCTATTCTTAGCAGTGTTTGAGAACAATGAAAAACCAAAAACGAGAGCCACAGATTTTGTCCTTCATGGATAAAATTCCGTTAAGGTACACAAATGGTTGGACCTCGTTTTGCTCCTCATTACCAATAGTTTTCTTGTGTTACTAGTGTTTTTGTATGCTGTCTGATTGTAGGCCCTCTTTGCCTTGTGTACGACGAAGCTTCCATTGGCTATTGTCGGTTGCATAATAGCAACAATGAAGATGATTTAGCTGTAACACTGGATTTTGTGGTGAGAAGTGGGGTAGAACCCTATTTGTATGGCACCAAGTAGGTTATACCCAACACAATGGAGCTGACAATTATTTGTGCAAATTAAATGTCAATTGCATTTTTCACAATTTTGGCTATAGCAGAAGCGTGGATTCCTTTCAGACCTGTAAGAGGTGTAAAATAAAATTGTAGCTCTCACTTTCAAGTCCACCTTTTTGCAGTTCTGCGGCGTTGCCACAGCCCTCAACGAGAAGACAAATCAATAGCGTTGTACCAGCAAGGGCTAGAGCATGCAACCATCAGCAGTTTATCACACCTTCCACAACGAGGGAGTTTAACAAAAGATGATATCTCTGACAAAAGAGGCAGCTGCTGGCATGTGCCGAATGACATCTAACTTGCATCCTTCAGTTTTCCAATTCAAACGAGAAAAAAAAAAATCCTCGATTTAGCATGGACAAGCTCAAGCAACAAGTTGTACCAGGACTGTGTGATCATAAACCTTTTGATACGATAGCATCAGATTGACAAATCAAATGAAATCTAAACACAACATTAGTTTATTTCAACAATGCAAGGTCGCACATTAAAGCTGCAAATTGTCATTACATATTTTCCAATTCGGCATTGTTCAATTTGAACCTCCAATAAGATGGCACTAACTTATTTTAATATTCCCATGCACAAACCATCCACAGATTACATCAGGAACTTACTTACCAGCGGCAAGTCTGCCATCCAAGTTCAACAGATTACATGTCTTTCCTGCAAGCTGGTCACAGAAATATGCTATTTGAAATTTCATATAGGTTCAAGTTACCTCCAGTTCCCGCACCATTTCAAGTTATAGTGCATCCAGTTCCAGTCCGCTGAAGTAGATTTCCAGACAAGCATAGAAAGAACTGTTCCAAGTAATTGAGTTTTAGAGACATCTTGGCTCTAAAAGAAACTATGTAAGGGGCAGTTACCTATTGTTGGCCGATCCTGGCTTTTGAATTTTTTACTCCAAAGGTACCCACTACACTGTAAGACAAAAAATCAGTTTTCCATGAAATTGAATTCTTGAGGTTTCCAGGTCGGATAACCACCCAAAAACACATGTATCTGGCCTTAAAGACTGCCTATTAATTTGCAAAGCCCTCACACAGCCCAGTCACTTTGAGTTCCATATGAAAATGGTACATGCCAAATTGAGTGGGCAAATGAACTTTCCTGCCTACTAGATCATCAACATGCTAAAACTGAAATGCAAGATCAATTAAAATGGGGCTTGGTTAATAACACTACAACTTGGGATTCCCAAATTTCTTTCCCTGTCTAGTCAACCAAGAAGCAGTTGCCAACAAACATTATCCAGCTTCAATCCGTCCACCCCAAAAAAAAAAAAAAATTCTACAGTAAGGCGAAGTCAACCTATTGGCGCAAGTCATGTTAGAAAACAAGATTTATTTGTTACCTTGAGATTGAGACACTAAACCATCATCGGTCTCAGCAGCAGTGTCACTCAAGCATATATTTTGAATCTGTACTCTTATGTACATGAGAACATCAATGACCAAAGATAGGAGACAGACACTAGACTATGAATCAATGTTCCAGAGACAAAGGCGTAAAATTTTTGTTCAAACAAAGTCCAAAAGGAACACAAAATAGTTACAACAGCATTAAGTAATACCTACCTCAACCCTTTTCTCCTCTAATAATATTTGATGAAAGGGAGGTAAAATCTCAATAAAGCTGTGAGATGACAAGAAATTTTTTACCCATGATGACATTTAACGTAAGTCTCCAAAAGCACATGTTCATGAAACTTTGAGATTAAAAAGTCTACCTCATATAATTTTAAACTCAGATATCTATGAACATAATCCTCTAATATGGGCGAACTGGACTTCTAGGTGACCTCCTGCGACCATGCCTAACAGGGGAACATGACCTGCTTCGATCACGGTGCCTATCCCTGCCTCCATCCCTTCCATTCTTAGTCCTCCAATCATCTCGATTACCCCTACCATTCCACTCCCTTGACCTTTCACGATCTCGGTGCCTGTCCCGCTCCCTTTCTCTATCTCGATCATGATACCGATCTCTATCACCTGAACCACTCCTCCTACTCTCATATTCCTTCTCCCTCAGTTTCCTCCGTTCTTCAGCTTCTTTTTCCCTTGCTAATCTTTCCTCTTCCCTTGCCTTCTCCTTAGCTTCCTGTGTATTCCACATTCTCAGTTCACCAAAACAAACAAATATATTGTACACTGAGTTCATACAGCGAAGTTAACTCACCTTGTACTCGGTGATATAATCCCGGACCATCCCATATCCGATGTGCTGCTTCCCCGTGATATGAGACTGGGTTCTCTCTGCAACATCATTTGCAACTAGAAAGGAACCACAAATCTCACACAAAGCCATCTTTTTCTCCTGTGGAACCACCAATACTTTATCATTCTGGCATTGAATCAATGCTTTCTCAGCATTAAGTTCATCCACCTGTTAGAAGAGTCGCAAAAAGTTAGGATTTAAGTCACTGGTTGGGCAAGCAATTTTATATTTCACGGCAAGCAATTTTATATTTCACGAAAAAAAAATGGAAAAGGAAGGTTTAACACAATATCATACTTTAAAGGAGGAACTGCAACATAAAAGCATGAATGCATTGTTTTTATACTTTTGTTATTTTCAGGTCTGGATGGGGAATGGGCTGCTATTAGAAACAAATTAAGAAACACCTTTTTCATAAGCGCTTGAGCTTCATCCACCTTCCCAACTTCACCAAGGGCCTCCACTTGCACCAGCAGGTTTTTTATTTTATCCTCCACCACAGATAATCGTTCAGACTTGTCAGCTGACAGCGGAGGAGGTGGCATAGGTTCATCCCCTTGTGCTAGGCGTTCTCGTCCACGCCTAACTCTTCTATCCAATTCCATAACCTGCATAGAAAAGGATCCCATGTAAACAAATAAAACTACATATCACAAATAACAAGCAACCAAAACCAACAAGTAAGAGACCTACCAATTTCTCACATCTCTGAGCAAGTTCTGCTTCAAATTTAGCCAGATATGCATCATGTCTAGGGGACTTCTCAAAGCTTAAGTCAGAAAATAATTAATAAAGCCATTAGATCAAGTTTGAGTACATATGGAGAGAGCATGAGAAAATTCTGATGAAGAAGACCAACTAAACTTTGATAGAACACCTAATTTTGACCAATCATGCACCAGAAACACAAGTATCAAAACAAAATAAAATCAAAAGGCTTTATGTAAATCACTGATGCTGTGGACTGATTTGAACAGCACAAATTATTCTCCTTACAACAACCTGATGAACATTTTAGTTTGGATACATCAAGAAGAAACAAATATCACACCAACAGTGTTTTGCAGATCCAAGATTCATATTCAGTTACACATACAAAGCAGTTAGTTTCTTATAAAGAACCAAATTAATAACTAACGCAACAGTATCAAGAGGTAGTTAATTTAATAAACATATAGAGTCGAATGATATAATACAAAGCTCAACAACCAAGAACAAACACAGCACTTGGAAAATTCCTGCAACACATCAACAGGTCCATAGAGAACGTTTTGTCAGTAACATACTGGAACTAGAATGCAGCAATGTCATGGCATTGTCAATCAAAACACCCACAACTACCTTTCTTTCAACTTTGGATCATGAACCCTATCACATGGTCCTGGCAGCAAAAACAAAAGGAGCAAAAACCAATTAGCGAAAAATCTCCAAATTATCAAAACCAAAGCTCAGCTTAATAACCAAAGTACAAATCAAGCACGGATATAATGAGAATTCAAATCTCCAAAATTTAGAAACATGCTAAAGTTAAAATAATCCAATCAAAATTAGTCAACTTAAAGCTACAATAACTTACCAATATCACTTTTGGTGTTGACAAAGAGGTCATGAGGACAAAACCGAGCCATATAATAAGCACAAACCTCCTTCGAATCCCATGTTATTTCCTTGTAATCTTTTCTCTCTTCCTCCGTCAAATTACGATCTTTTCAGAACAAGAAAAAAAAATTATAAACACATTAACAGCCCCATCCAATCAATCAAATAATCAGAGCTTCGTCAATGTAAATGCATGAAATTGAAAAATAAAATTAGGGTTTTATTACCTGCACCCATGAGTTCATCTAGCATAGCTCGTTGAAGGTCCATGAGCTGATAATGGTGCGAATTACTGATATTAGGCTAAATAACAGGTTTTTGATATTGAAAATGGATTTCTTTTAATTTTTCTAGGTTTTTTTTAGGATTGAAAAATAAAAGTGGAATTGTTACTTTTTAGGGTTTGGTTTTGAATTTTGATAGGTTGTCGTATCTTTGAAGACGAGAGAATGGTGCGGCTTTGCATAATATCTCTTTCCTCGGATTGGATACAGGTATATTCCTGTTCTGGTTTAGGAAAACTATCCTGTCGGTTTTCTTTTTCCTTTGTATCCAAACGGGAAAAACAAACTTTCCACTTGTTTCTTTTTATTTTTTTAAACCCGGTTTATTTTTATATTTTTAAAAAATTTAAATTTTTTTATTTTTTTAAATTAATATATTTTAGTATTTTCAAATTATTTTAATACATTAATATCAAAAATAATTTTTAAAAAATAAAAAAATTATCTTAATATATTTCTAACTAAAATTCATTTTATTTTAAATTCATATTAAAGTCAATTAATATTTTCCTTTCAGAATATTAAATTAGTTGTGGAATGTTTTAAGACTAGTGTAATTCATGCACGTGCATTAAACTAAATATATTTCACGATGAA